ATGCAACAATTTACAAGCCTTCCGCGAAGAATTCAAGTAGAAGGGAGATGGCTTAATATTCAGGGGATTCTTGGCTATGGCGCGTTTGGTGTAGTGCACAAAGTCACAGATGAAGCAAATCCGTGGAAAGTCTTCGCGTTGAAACAAGTCCGCTGTTCTGATGCTTCCCAAACTGACAATGCTATTCGTGAGGTTCGAATTATGAAACAACTCAGGCACCAGAATGTTATTTTAATGTTCGCGGCAGATCAGATGAGCGATCACCAAGGCTTGCACATGTTGATTGTGACCGAGTACTGCGAAGGCGGAAGCTTGAACGCTCGTCTTAGTCGACCGAGTTTTGAAGAAACCAACTACAAGTGGATTTTACAAATAACAGAAGCTCTTGCCTACCTTCATTCACAACAAATACCGGTAGTTCATCGCGACTTGAAGGCCGACAACGTGCTCCTAACTGCGACGGAGGATGTAAAATTAGCTGACTTTGGTTTAGCTCGACATTACGTGCCACTCAAAGAATCTGTGCAATATGGCCCCTACGGTTCGTGGATGACCCACTTTTTAAAGTATTACATGAATTCAGGAGTTGGCCCGCCACACTGGGTGGCTCCTGAATTTTTCAGACGACGTTACACCGAGAAAGCCGACGTGTTTTCGATTGGAACTTTGATTCTCGGGATCCTGCAGCGAGATCTTATCATGTTTAATGGCAAACCAATTTATGGTGCCTTCGTAAACATTCCTCAAAATACCTTTGGGCCGTTTGGCGGCGTAGTTCAGTGGGTGAAAGTAGGCATTGGATATGCAATGGCAAAGTATAATCCAAACATTTCCATCCCACTCTCACTCTGCCCACCATTGTCCAACGCTCTGCAAGAAATCGCCCTACGTTCTATGCAATACAACGAGTATGATCGTCCAAGCGCAAGCGAAATTTGTTATCAAGTTAAGAGCATCCCATCGCGCATTCAGCCGCAGAACTTGATGCCACTTTAGCCCATGCTTTTACTGAAGTAAGTCTTCCCGTTCACTACTTTTGCAGTTACTTTCGGTTTTAGTTCGCAGTTCTGTGCAAACTGAAGTCAAATTAGTCACATTCACGTAACCTGAGATCAGGCTCTATTTTCGTTTCGCTTTGAAAATGCGCTGTGGCCATATGGCCGGTAACCGGTCAAGGTTTTCAAAACACTAAATGACCGGCAGTCCTATATTCTCATTAAATTTGACAAATCGAAAAATCCATCTAATCTAAACTATCATATGTCGATTAAGAAAAGTCACTTTATAGATCTCAAGTTTAGAGTTTGGTTTCCGCTGTGCTCAGAAAACGAAACCATGTTTCGTGACACTTAACACTTTTTTCAGCTTCCTCTTTCCTCTTTCCTCTTTCCTCTTTCCTCTTTCCTCTTTCCTTATCCCCTTTCCCAACTTATCTAGGAAAGATCGAAGCGAGTCTGCTAGCTAGACTCTAGCAGGGTAGACTGCCGGTCATTTAGTGTTTTAACAATCTTGACCGGCAGTCGACCTGAAAAAAGTTTAAAGTGTCACATACAGCGTAAACCAAACGGTAAACCTGAGATCTATAAAGTGTTTCAGGATCGCTTGACTTTTCTTAATCGACTTATGATAGTTTAGACAGGTTGGGATTCTTAGATAAGTCAAATTTATTGAAAATACCGGACTGCCGGTCATTTAGTGTTTTGAAGGCCTTGACCGGTTACCGGCCATATAGCCACAGCGTTGAAAATAACATTACGGCGGGCAAGGCGAAACGAAGTTTTAGCGGTAGCCGTTAGAGAGACATGGAGAGAATGTACGAGAACCGCTAAAATTGGGCCTGATCTCAGCTTAAATTCACGTCGCTGTGCTAGTAAAGCGTCGTACGTTTTCACTACTGTTCTTTTCTTTTTAATTTCTTTTTATAAAAATGCACAAGGGCTTTTGACACATTTATGCGCTTCTGCCTTCAGTACTGCAAACCAAACTCCCTCCCCTCCCCCCTAATACTGTTGTCTTTGACGACTGGAGTGGTTTCTAAAGAAATCAAGGGGTAATAATGTTTATCTTTTGATCTTCTCGACAAAAACTTCCGGCTCATTCCATTCAAAGAGCGTAGAGCAATCACACATACAGAAAGTTACTTTTAGAATGATACACATTTCAAGAACTTCAAATGTGCACATAATGAAAAGCATTCCTCAAAACACTATCAAATGACATTTTCATCCTCATCACCCATGAATGAATGACTTTTTATCATGCTTCCTTTTTAACTTATGCAAGGGGATAGTGTGGAGGATGGCATTGTGTAATGAAGTGTCTCTTAGTTTTTGAACATCAGGCAATATTAGAACTTCTGATAACATGTGTGTTCAAGTATTAGGATATTATCTTTTTCAGGACGCATTTTTACATCCTTTAATTTATAGCTTTTTTGACTGAACAATGTGTATTTAGAATACAGTCATAACCATTACAATTTCCTCAAATTTGATTGGTGCATAGACCGATTGCAAATATGGTGACGATTTCACCAAACTAGGCTTTTCGGTAGCAACCATTGCTAGGGGCTGGTTGCTTGTCAATTTTCTTTGGTGAAAAAGGTTTCAATCTGGTATGTACGCTTTCAATACTGTTTTTCTATGCTAAATTAAACACACAGCGATCACAGACCGAGTCATTTGAAGTCATCGTGATAACTTTCACTGCCTGATATTTTTCATTCACTGTAATTAAAGTTCATATGTAAGCTTAAATATTATAATTCTAAAAGCTGATCTTCAGTTTTTAGAATTGGATTGCATGCCATTTTTTGGTCTGCATTTATAAATAGTGAAACATGCCAGATAGTTGTTGCGTGCCGTTGTGCTGCGAGAGTGGTTATCGTGTAGAGCCGGATGGGAAAAAGATCACGTGTGATTGTCTTCCATCGGATGCTGTAAGACTGAAGGTACTTCCTTCAAAATTCTCGTTCATTAAACCTATCGTTTCAAACCTCTCTAAGTCGCTCTTTTTTTTTTCGAGCACGAAGTCCAGCGGTGGTCGCTTGATTATTTTAATCATTTTGCCCGCGATCATCTGTACGCATTTGAAGTATTTCCTTCACTCTGCACAAAAAAAATTAACAAGGGACGCTAATTTTAAAACTTGCAATCACTTAGACAGAAAAAAATAATGAGACAAAAGACAAAGGTGCATTAAAGTTTTCATTAGTGTATTTAATCATATAAAACAGAGGGGTGCTTACTTTGTAACAAGTTAAGCCTTCACTGTTAATCCTTTCAGGCTCACTTTCTTGCTTAAAATAATTTCTTTTAATTCCTTCACGACATGCATCTTTTCCACAGGCCTATCCATTATGAACTTAATACCGTTCAGTAAAAAGAACATACAATGAAAGTCTATGACATTTTCAAGAAGTTCAAGTTCACAGTTGGTAATGTAATATCAATTTACACATAAGTTCACTGAAATCGTGATTTTTCCTATCATCTACGTTCTGATTTGTACAATATAAGCAAAGTAAAAAGCGCTGAGCTTTATTTTAACACAAGGAACTGACGGTGACTTTTTCTTGAAAGTTTTTTATTGTTTCCATAGTGAAAAAACAACAAGGTAACGGACTCTCATTAGCATATAAACAAGCAACCAGCCCTTATCAACAGTTTCTACTGAAAAGCCTCTCTTTTGTGAAATCGATGCCATATTTGCAATCGGTCTATTAACTGCTTTTCTAATTATTGTGTAGGGTTCAGGGTGCAAAGAAAGTAAGTTTTACAGCCTACCATTCGGGCAAGCTGTAGCTAGCCCACAAATCATTTCAACTAGCCCCAAAACTCTTTTTGATTAGCAGGATTCAACTGAGGATTGATTACAATCCTTCTGTAATTTGATCATGAATTTCTTCAATAAACAGCACTTGCCTGTCAGGGAAGAATGGAACAAAAATCACTAGCCCGATACCAAAATCCACTAGCCCCGGGCTATCGCACACCACTTTCTTTGCACGCTGAGGGTTGTAATCAGACAGTTGGCTGTAATTGGTCACCTGTAATCCGACAGTTACATTAGCCAATCATCTCACTCACTCAGCTAAATCCATCAATCACAGAATTTATCACAATAACAATAACAACAACCACTTACCCAATCAAACTGGGGATTTTCTAAAATGGGCAAATTTGTGACATTTGACAGTGTCTCTAGCAGTGATATTTTCCCCTAATTTTGGATAATTGGTAAAAGCTCAATCCCAAGAAAGAATGCATTTGTTTTCTCGGAAATTGTGATAGTTATGATTAATTGCTAATAGGACTTCATGTCGTCCAATGTGGTCTGTCATCATTGTAAATGACATCACAACAACCTTTATTGATTTAGTGATATGATATCTCTCGCCTTAATCTTTTCTGATTCGCTAGTTTCATTTCCTTAGACAACGCCTATTTTTACGTAGAAAACGCATGGTCTCTTAACTTTAGCTTTAGTTGGATTTCGTCGTCTTCATGTGTACATCGTTGTAGGACTTGTAGTCTATTTGGATAGTTCATTTCTTGGTACTTAGTGGCAAGCGGGAACCGATATGTAAGTACATTTTATCTTCTGTAGTTTTGTCTATCTGGAGACTCATATATTCCTGCAAGAAGTTGTTGTTCAGTAATACTCAGTGTCTCGTACCATTACGTGAATATGCCTTTTTTGAGTTTCAAGTAGGTTTTTACTTTTTAGTTCGGCGTGGGAATCTCATTTCTTTTAGTTAATTAGTTTTCGTGCCTTTGCAAATATAGTCCGTTCTCAGATTTATTTTGTTAGTTTCTTAGTATTTCGCAGGAAGCAACCATTATTGTTTTTGGGAAGGTTTCTTTACTCCTGCGTACCCAAATTTAAGTTGATTTTATTCCTTTCATGAAGTAAACTTAGTCTAATGTTCTAGTTGGTAAGATTTATTATTCCTGTATTTCAATAAGTATATTTCTTTTGTCTTATTACGCGTTTTTGGCAAGGTTTTTATACCGGAACAGCTACGAAAATAAAAATATAATCGGAATGTTAGTAAAATGTTATATTATCTGTTAGCCAAACTATAATTGTAATTGTACTTTTAGCTTTTAGTAATTATTTGTTACTTTGCATTATATTTCAGTTTACGGTTCGATTATCGTCAATAAAATCACCATCAATGACTAGCTCACAGTTTCGTGATCGTAGTTGATTCATGATCCACCAGTAAAATATGAGTTTGACTAATAGTCGCAGGTCGCGGGTCGCGGGTCCAATGTCGCGGTCGCGGGTCCAAAGTCGCGGTCGCGGGTCCAATGTCGTTGCAGGGGAACATGATTTGGGGTTCGAGGTAACAGCTGAGTGAAAACGACTGATATGAACACAATATAAAGGGAAAAAAATCTTTTTTGTGCACGATACTCTACGGTAGCCAATTTACAGGTTACGGATGTTAGAGTCAACAAAATAATGTCTCAAGAAAAGACCTAAAAGAAAAAGCTGGCCGACTTTTGTGTTCAGCGCAAGTTTTTTTTTTTCTTTCTGTCGGGCCCAGTTATATGTAAAGTTAGCTTTGAATATACTTATGCATAACAGTATCTGATAAAAAAGTTACCATAAGTTACCATTGCTTTCTTCTTGTCGATGAATTGCTCACAAATGCTTAGGGGCTCAATTACTGAAAAATATGCGATGCACTTCATAGACTACAGATTATAAACGTTACAACAACTTAAAGCCTCTTTTTTAAAAAAGCGAACTCGGGCTCGAAAAGCTACGAGTCTGTCGGTAGAAGAAACGAGAACTCCTATATTTAATAAATGTTTTCGGCAAAACTGAAAGAAAATGTAAATAGGCGCATGAAACTTCATTCAAGCGGTATTCAAGGCATGAATTTAATTTGGAAACAAGTAATAATCCACAGAAAGGAGTCTGTTCCTCGAAGCAAGATTCTCGCTTAATGCTTTTATTTTTACAACTGAGACGGCAACCCAGAG